GGACTAGCACTACCTACACACTTTATTAAATCCAGTCATAATTGTGTCATTTGTGTGTATATCTTTGTCAACATAAAAACAAATTGGGTTCAAATAATAACCAGCTGCATGCAATGGCCGATGTAGCTACCTATCCCACGTCTCATCAATAATCTCCCAAACAGGCTTGTAGCGGTTCTCATCATCATCAAAAATTTTTTCTATCTCTCTTTTGCATTTCTCTATAGCCTCATATATGTAGCCCATAGAAGCCTTGACGCTATCAACCATGCGAAGGACTTTGACAAGATGAAAGAATACCTTAAGAGCGTCCTTCACCCCTCATAAAAAAACCTTAGAAAAGATAATAACTCTCACCTTCTTTCCAACCTGATCCTTGAACCCCTGGCATGCTCTGCAGTCATCCGAGGTAAACATCTTCCTCAACTGCACTCTCCTCGAATGTATGCTATCTAGGCATAAGTACCAGGTCGCAAATCTCATGACCTCAAGCCTCACAATCTCTTTCTTCTTTGTAAATCTACACATCATGCTGAGGGTGAGATGGTGGCTATAAATGAAATTTGTAATTGACTTGGCCTTTTTCACTGCACCTGATATCTCGGTTAACCGCCAAGAGCCTCAAGCATGAGGTCTATACAATGTGCTGTACATGGTATCCAAATGATTCTAGGATAAGCTATGCACAACAAATTAGAAGCAACAACATTAGGATTTAGGAGCAGCATTGTCTGTGAAAACCTGTACAACAAAATGCTCCCCAACCTCCTTGATTTCCTTCTCTATAACTTGGAATATGTAATGGGCATTATGGGTATAATCAGATGCATCAATAGACTTAAAAAAAACAGTTCCTAAAGGACAATTCACTAGAAAATTCATCTGACTTCTTCTCTTCCTATCATTCCAAGCATCAGTCATAGTAGAAACTCCATAATGAGCCCATACATCCTTAACTTCTACAGCATCCTTCGTGACACTCACCTCATTTTTCAAAAGAGGCTCTGGACGCTCATATGGGGGTTTCATCCCAGGCCCAAATTGGCCAATTGCCTCTACTAAAGCATAGAAGCTGCTTAAGCGAGCGGTATTGAAAGGAATGCTCGCCTCATAAAACCATGTAGCAATAAAAAAGGCAGCTCTATCTCTTTCTTCCTTCATTCTATTTTCAATAGTGGTTTGCTTCTTTGTTTTCTCTTCTGCAACCTAAGGGTCAGGCCGGGGCAAAAAACTATCCATAGGGCCTCTAACCAGAGGCTTCTTACTCCCAAAACCAGAACCAATTACAATTTCTTTTCCCTTTCCCCTAATAATGGATTGTTCTACCCAGTGTTTTAAAAATCGGCGAGTCAAACTGGACTTGCCCGGTTCGACTCGGGAACCGGCATAGCCCGTGCCGGTTCCAATACAAAACCGGGAACCGCCCGGTTCTAGAGAAGAACCGCCGGTTCCAATCCGGTTCTATCCGGTTCAGCCCGGTTCCCTCCTTGCACACGTGCGACAGGCACGTGCACGGGTGCAACACGTGTGAGGTTACCCCAATATTTCTACACAAACATTTTAATTTATATTACATAGGTATTTATATACCAAAGTGGAATACCCATCCTTCGATGTGGGATAATTCCCAAACATCATTAAATGCAAAGGGAATTTAAATATATTCTATTAATCATCAAGTTATAACCACCTAGGGCGAGGTGGCGTGGTGGTTAAGACCTTTGCTTCTTCATGTGATGTCTCAAAGTCGAGTCCCCCTGTGGGCGTTATTTTTTTGTGTTGTATAGTTTTTGTTGTATATATTGTATAAATATTTTTGTAAATAATTAAAAAGCATAAAAAAATGAAAAATAAAAAGTTAATTTTTTGTATAGCAGTTAAGTTTTGTTATATATAGTGGTATAATTATTTTTTAAATAATATGAAAGGCATAAAAAAATAATACATAAAAAGTTTATTCTATTTGAAATCTCCATCTTTCTACTAACAATCTCTTTCACTAAATTTGTTATAGAAACCTAAAAAAATAAATTTTTGAAAAATTGAAGTGCTATTTCCAAAATTTATACGCATTTTATTAATTTTTACATTGATAACCAAATCTTTTATTTTATTTATTAATTTTTACATTATAAATCATGTAATGTACTATTTTTCTTACAGTTGTCAATAATACATTTTAAATTAGATAATATTATAAAATATTTTTAATTTGTTATTCTTTGTCTAATAAAATAATTATAAAATGTAAACTAATAATTATAATTTCAGTATATAATATTATAATTAGTTAGGTTTTAATAATTTTGGATTATAGTTAGTTAGGTTGTAATAATTTGGATTTTTTTAGCGGATTAGGGTTTTTTGCCAAAACGAGATTTTAATGGCCATTCTTTCATTGATTAGTCTACTCTTTATAATAGTCCATGTATAATTATATATTTTATCTATGATAATTTTATGATTTTTCTTTTATGTGGTGCAAATTTAATGGTTAACATAAGTTTATACAGGGAAAGAGCATCTCAATATTCAC